AGTCCGAGAGTTTCGAGGATGTGTACAGTAGAGACCGTAACGAATTCGTGAAAGTATAATTTTTCTCCCTGCATTCTACCTCTTTCTAAATGCAAATTGGAACAAACTGCGATCGACGATTCGATAACGCTGGATGGAAACGTGCAACTGACTTCTTCGTCCGTTTCCCTCCCTTGCATCCGCACTCAACTCAAAGAAATAAAGCTTAGCGAGTGTGAAATGCAACGTCACAAACGCAGCAGCTTATCATGGCGCGTATCCAAATATTTGATTCGGAAGCATATTTTGAAAATCGTATACGTTAAACTGCAATTTCGCAACACAAACGGTAGGGAAGTCCGCGAATTAATTAATACATGTAATTAAGCTGGCTGAGGGTCGCGCGCTCGTATCGCGGTGATCTTGCCGCGGCGCTATTTTTCTGTTCCTTCCGTCGAGCGATGCGAACTACCGAAAAATGCGATGTGTCATCCGATAAAACAAGATGAAGCAAAATAGCCGGCGCCGCTTTTTCTTTTCTTCTTGAGCCTCGCGCCACGGCAATGCGGTCGACGATAGGCCGCGCCGATAAAGAAGAATCTTAACGAGGGGTTGCGGCGCGGTTTAAACTATACGCTTATACGGGCTCTACCCTACGACGGCTGGGCGGCTTGCGGCGTGCGAAGAGGTCGACTGGTTATTAGAACGAGGAGCACGAGTTGCCGGGAAGGTGTCTAATAGCCCGCCAAGAGTACAATCGCCCTCGAAGGTTTCGGCGCGGGGTACGTACTTTACATACATTTGCATCCCGCCGCCACAAATCCGGCCGATCGCGGAAGGCCGAGGGCGGGTAACGCGCGCGGTGGCGTCTCTATCTTGGCGAGCCACCCGAAAGGGCTACAAAGTGTGGAATCTTTAATCCGTTCGGTTCCTTTTTCGTCCAATCGTACGATAATTTAAATTTCAGAGCGCAACTCTTTTACGCGACGTATTCTTGCACTTAGATGGGAATATTGAGTTGATCGGATTTATAAAACGCAATCGATGTAAGAAAGTAGTTCAGATATTTCAGTGTAATGGCGGTTAAGATTTTATTTTAGCAATCTTTATTGTCGAAAGATATTTGAAGACACTTTTATTTAAGGAACTTATATGTCCCGATTAAACGTGTGGGTTTTAACATGAATATGCGATGAATAATAAGAAAGCGACTCGTTCTCCAGGTATTCGGTAAGAGAGAGAAAGAGGGAGAGAGATATATAAATCGGGCATCGACGAATGCAAATGATGGGAAGATTTGTTTTAAATACATATCGCTTACAAACGATTATTTATAAGTCTTATAAATGATCATTTAATATATACTTTCTTTTGTCGTTTACATTTGTTTTATCGCTATAACGCAATTAATGATTCCACAATTGCACTATTAATTAATAGCAATTAACTTTATTATTATCATGCTTGTGCATACTGGGTAATAGGTATATTTGCTATATGACAAATTTACATTTTACATAATACATCGATAGTGCGGAACGAAATAAAAAGCTCTTTGTAAGAGAGATATATTTATCAAATGTAATATTCAAGATAATCTTTGATATCATGCACATGCATACATAGCCAAATTAATGTACAAGTGCCAAATGTAATGCACAAGTCTTATAATCGCGTTCAGAATTGAAAGTCGATGATTGAAATATGTACAACGAGATAATATAACTTTCAGCTAGGTATCGTTCATACCATTTCCAAATGCATTAAAAGAATAAATACACTTTACAACCTAAAGACTAAAATGAAAAATAAACGGAGAACAATATGTTTTTTCCCGTAATATTAATATTTAAAATTTTTCTGATAATAATTTAAACGTAGCGACTGTCTCCCCATCAAATTTATTTAAATTTTCAAAACTGATAGGTAATGCATGCGGATATGCGAGCGTAATTATAAAATATTCGCGCTGTTACAGTAACGCGTCGAATCGTATCGTACAAATGTAAAAAATAAAAAATTAAGTTAAATTTTTCTCGCGGAGACAAATGTTTAACGGTACATCCGTTCGTAAACGTACACCAGTCTCACTTAAATCCTAGTTAACGTGAGCTTCGCAATGTATCAATGGGATACTATCTATGGGCTTGTTAAGCGATATAAATCAGCGAGCTCACCTGAGGTATTTATGGAGATGCATTAGCTTTCCGCGCAAGAGTATAGAATGCTAGCATTTATTTGGTAATTTCCGGCAGTCCGATATTCATCTTTCGAATGTTATTGCGCCGCGGTCCGATAGAGTTGACCGACGATCTCCTGAGATCAGGGATCGCGTCAGACCTTCGTCAAGTCAGCCGATAATTGGCGATAAGGTAGAATACGTTCGTTAAATTAGAAAGTATAAGATAGACCGGATGCCAAAGATAACAATGATACGAGAGACGATTGTCGAGTGTAACCTCGCAATATCGCAATATATAGTTAATGTGTGCACACTACCAATTTTGTTATATTAACACATTCCGTGCCGAACCAATTTTACGTGACTTGGTCCATGCCGGGTCACCGATGTGATTCACGTTGTCGTATTATAAGCCACACTTTATTGACCAAATAACACGTGTTTCATAATTATAATCAAATTATTCCCTATAATTATGTTTCGTTTCAAAATATCAAATGGCCTGAACGAAAATTCAACGTGGACAAGTCACGCGGCACGAAACGCATTAAAACGTTCAAAACGTCGTATTAACCGATAATAATTTTGTTACATCGTTTGAGGTAATTAGTTGTGACAGTGAGATATCAGGATCGTAGGGTTGCTTTATCCTGTAAAGCCCGAGAAAGGGCAATATATACATCTCTGGGTAAAGGGCGAACTGGTTGATTAGAGTGAAGATCAGCCTTGCGGAGCTTATGATGTTGTACACCGTGTTCCTCGGCGAGCCGCGAAACAAATAATCAAGGATTGAATATCGGTGTCTTGTAGTAGCAATCACGGCTTCCTCTAGAGGTACCTACGGTGTCCGCTAAGACGACCGTAGTTGGCGAAGTTTGACAAGTTGGCGGTAACAGGGACGGTGGTACCAAGTGCCAAGAAAGTTCCGAGGAAGGATCAGTTGATGCATAGTCGCGGGAAGAAGGATGCGCCCTGCCAGCAAAGGACGTGTTCCGCGGGACAATCGCGAGTTACGTATACATGGAAAACGCTGAATCCGCCGGTGCTTAGTCGAGTTTCGCAAGGACTAGTCGAGGATCCTGGGAGTTTCTGATGGCGCGGGTTACAAATTCACGAGCAATCCCGAACGCACGATTTGCTCGCAAATATTTGTCGGCAGCAGTCCTTGAATCATTCCCGGGATTCTCATTCCCCGCTCAATTTCTCTATCTCTCCCTTTCTCTCCTTCTCTCTCTCTCTCTCTTTCTCTCTCCCGTTTCTTTGCGTTATGAAAACTGGAAATTGCGCGCAATGAGTTTAATGCGTCCGTTTGAAGCTACGCGAACTCGCGAGAAACTTGGTAGTTTCATTGCTATGAGGAAGAGGGGAAGAAGGAAGGGGACGGCTTACAGCCAAGAATTGTTTAAAAGTTACTTTCTTCATACGCAGACACTTTCCGTACATTTTTTCTTTATGTTACACTCAAGTTGTTCAAAGATGAGTGTACGAATGTCGGAACTGTGCGATAGGTGTCGACTCAAAGCCACGTTTTGCTTAGTGGACACTTAACACGCTGTCTTTTACGACCGTTTAATTCTCAGTAACGAAAGTCAATAATTAATATTGCGGAAAATTTCACCAGACGCAAATGTAAATTAGCTAAATTACTTCACTAATAAGGTTTCCGCGTGCGCGTTTCTCCTTAGAAAATCTCTGTACCTTTGACGTCGCGCACAATGCAACAAACAATATTAACGTCATGGAGGCAAAAGAAGAAGAGGCTTGGAATACGGTAGAGTTCCTCGACCAAAGAAATTCTGTCACTTATCCGCGATAAAGTACATGGACATACCGCGCAAAGTTGGCACACTCAAAGCGCCGCGTCGCATTGCCACTCATCAGTGAAATTGCGCCAGTTACGCCGCTGGATGTGTCAGTTTCTTCGTGTAACATAATAATCTACATTAAGTGCAAAGCGCAACGTAGAAAGCATTTGTAATTTGTGAACAAGCGAGAATAAGCAAGCTGCAAGTATACGGTGTTATATTCATCCGGTGAATATGACGCGGTACTTTTTTCCTTTTTTTTTCCACTCGCAACGAAGGCCGGATCACCTTGCTCGACAAAAGTTAGCAATATTTGCGATTTTGTCATTGATCATATAATAATAAAATGTATGGGTTTTAGCTGGTATAAATAAAATCCGATATTACATGATTCCGTACGCGAAAATGGAAAATGGCCTGATAATATAACGTGATTGCAATATTTCCGATAGAAAATCTCGTATGTAAATAATTAAAGTTTAATTCAATTTCCTAATAGAAAAATTCAACAAATAATTGCAACGTTCGATAAATTTAAATTATTAACTTCATTAATTCGATAATTTTGGAGATTCTTTACGTCACAGTTCGATTTAGTTTCATCCCTCGACATGTCATCACAGAGTTTCCTTCTGTAGCATGCAAAATAAATTACGGAATAAGAGAAATTCGTGATAAATTATTAATTCTATCCGATCTGAAGGTAACTATCGGCGCAAATGCCGTAGAGATAAATCTAACTCTCGAGAGATTCATAGCTGGATTATATATATATATATATATATATATATATATATATATATATAGCAACTATATTTAAGCTATTAATTATATACTTTTCAGTCGCAGCTCTCCCTCTTGTTTCACTCGCTTGCGCGAGTTTTATATGATGCTGAATTTAATTATCGCTCTGCTCGTTACACCGGCACTTTAGCGTGTTTAAAATTCATTAACGCTCATTCTCTTCCGATCTAAGTGGAGGAGGACCGGAGGGACAACTTCCTCGAGAAGAATTAGTAGATTTTGATCTTTACCAACGACTTCGAGAAATCCAGTGATGCTGGACATCGGGTCAGTATTAACCTGGCACATGTACCAACCGCTGTCACTCTTCCGCGTGTCTTTTATGTGAAGGGACCACGTTCGATGGCCACTGTGCGTCACTGCGATCCGATGATTCTTCGTGATAACGTGACTTGCTATCGTCAGAATCGTCTGCGTATCGACACGTAGCCACGCTACCTGCAACACAAATCGGATAATAAACGGTTAAATAATTCATTGTAGCGGATCTAGCTAGCTGCAACAGGAGTACGAGTTATTCCAGTCAGGAGGATTGTATCTACTCTTGCAACGTACTGCTCGCGAGTGCACTTTATATACTTTACTTTTATTTCCTCTCGGTACATAATATGTATAATGCGTCGTGTATAATGCGTCGCTATGAGACTCGATGCTTCGCTCACATCGAGTTTATGCAACATGTAAAATAAATAGATTTTTAGACTACGCTCGAGACGTTAAAAGTGCAGCACGAGTAGGAATAGCTTCGTATAATGCGTAGAGCGGCGGTTTATTACCTCCAAGTATTTTAAGAGTTCTTCGGTAAGATTTCGAAGCGCGAAAAAGTTTTATGTAAATACACAACGAAGCGCAACGCCTGCCTAGATATAAATCAATTGCCGCTGACAGTTTAGACGAATGATCGTAGAAGGAAATGCGGCGAAAATGTCCAGGAAGTGGGAAGTACCGATGTTACTCGACGATAATGGAATTTTCTTTCATTTCGATCGCCGCCCCGCTTTCGGCAACAATTGATAAATTTAATCTCACGCGTTTTCCGCGCGTACAGAAACGTCTCCGATCGAAAATATTCCACCCGTATTTCTGAGCCCGAAATATCAAAATATCATCTTAATTATTGTTGTTATCCGCAATTATATTTAGTTTCCACGCCGAGGAATCGGGAAGGTGAATAAAGAGGCGTCGCGTGTGAAATTTATCGAAATGCAGCTTCTCTCTAATATCGCGAGAAAAACAACCGTACGTTCGCTAAGTATTTCGAAACGTACATTTCAGCATGTACAGAATTAAATTTTCGAGACGCGTTTCCATCCTGCTTTCCCGCCGCTATCATATTCAGAGTGATAACAGACGCGAACCTGGGTAAGTACTTTGTATCACTCCAGCCTGTTGCAGACAACGTTGAGGAAGTTAATATTTTATCGTATCGTGTTGTAAGAGAGATTTATCTTGCGAGATTCGTTTAACGAGTAATACGAAAAAGGAAATTACAGCCGATAAATAATTTTCGAGCGATTCCATTATGCACAACAGATGAACGCAGTTTCGATCAAGTGCAGTGTTAAAGGTGCAGTATTATTTTACGTTTAATAACGATTATACAAAGTGGTCCAATAATAAGAACACGCGCGTTAACGGGAGAATGCATCGTTATTTAATGAATCGCTCAACGTCTCTGCTTCGCTCGTATAACTGCTTTTTACCAGGTGCCGATGCACGTTTCCTTACTCGGTAAAATCGTGCGTCGCTCGGATAGGCCAAATAATATCCAGAGGTGTGCCAAAGCTGGAAGTGTCAAGCTATAAAGCTATCGTAGTCAAGTGCTAAATCAAAGGGAATAATAATGTGCGCGACCCAGTTACTGTCTTGTATCGTTCCCGCGGTAAAAGCGATTCTTCTTTTATCTGATCCAATAATCGTGGAACACGGTGACTGCACTTTGGAACATGCCTATCGCTTTGTAGATCGCGTCGCAACCTAGCCGAGATATCTCATTAAAAAAATAGATAGCATTCGCTCCGTACTCTTATTCTTCGCGGGGAGAGAAGAAGGAGAAAAAAGGACAAAGATCTCGGCGGGACGTTGCCGCCGCCGCACGCGGTTTTATTTATGAATGTCCGTTGCGCGAGTCTTCCGCTTTTCCTGATGCGCCATCCCCATCCCTGGTAGCCGACACATCCACCCCTCTCAACCACCGTCTTTCCCGTCCTCATCGCGGAAGCTGTCAACGCGTCTCATCGTCCAAGTGCTACCGACAATGTGCACGACGCTTACCAACTACGCTCGTAACATAAAGAGAGCGGAGATGGCGAGAGGGGGAGAGAGAGAGAGAGGGGTAGATAGAGAATGCGCGAGAAAACGAGAAAAGAGAGAGGGAGACAGGAGAAGCAGAGCGAAAAAGAGGAAGATGAAAAAAAAAGTGCTTCTTGTTACGCCGAAGTCGTAATACACTCGGCGCCGTTTTCGAGCGCGTACCGCCTCCGTCTCCGCGCGTTTACTCGCGCGGCCCGATGTGTGTCGCGCACAGTTGCACCCGCCACGTGCCTCGCGTGCACCGGACAGGCGGAGGCGGTCTAGTAGTCGCGAAGAACGACTGAACGAGGAAAAGGGAGGACGTTTCCCGGAGAGCGAGACTCTCGACGACGGAAGAGCGGTGGTTACGTCCACTCGCCGAGAAAGAAGCCCGGGAAAGAAGGTGCCGGAGCGGACGGCGAAGAAAGCGGCGTTGAAGCGCGCGTACGACGGTTGGGAGGGCGGTTGTAAATTGTGTGCGCAAGACGGGGGTGCGAAAGCTCTCGAGGTTGATAGAGGAGACGTGTGCGCCCACCTCTATATGCATGCATACGTCCGTCTCTGCGTGTCTCTTTCTCTCTCTCTCTCTATCTATCGCAAAGAACGGTATCCGGTTTGCACACGCGCGTTACGTGCGCGCGTGTCGTTCTTTTTCTCTCGTGCGGCTGGCGGTCGTCGTCGGAGCAATTACTCAAGTTCGCGTATGACCGAAATGCAAGCGGGAAGCAACGACGCGGCGCGTGTTTCGCTTTTACAAATGATTCGTTCCGCGGTAACGATATAATTGCGCGTCGCTGTAATCTCGCGGCCGGGAGCGCGCCTGAATAAACGCTGCGGAAATCTCTCCCTCTCTCTTCTCCTCTCTTCCGTTTTCGCGTCCGCCACCGGTGGAATTCTTCCACAGCGTATCCTTTTTTCGTTTCGCGCACTGTGTTTTCTGCTTTGGACGTGCCGCGACCACCCGGTCCGCCGTGAAAACGGCGAGAGGAAATCAGAACTCGGCAGCAACTCTTTATTTTCGTTTACGTCAGTCGGCTGCACGATACCTGTACGTATACCTACCTACCCGCCCGCCTGCCTGCCTTTTTTACTCGGGCTCTTCCTTTAGTACCCCCGACCATCCGTCCCTTTCTCGCCTTTCTCCTTCGTTTCCGCGGCACCTTCGTTTCATCCCTTTCAGTTGCAGCGAGTACGAAAGGTATCCGCGGGTAGTTCTTTAATTTCGCGCGATATCTTTCTGAGGCTGCGCTTCCGCGCGACTCGGTGGTGAAAAATGACCCGAGCAAGTTCTCCTCGAGGATGTACCGTGTCCGGACGATCGCTCATCCTTTCTCCTTCGATTTCTCTTCCGTTCGCGTGCGCTCGCGTAATCGTCGCCGGCTGTAATCAACGATGGAGAGAAAGAGAGAGCTTGCCGCGCGCGATCAGCTTGAATACTTCGGGGCGACGATAATGCCGGCGACACTTCGAAATGCGCGCTCCGATAATACCGTATTCTGAAAGGATCCCTTCGGGGCGAACAATTTTTTACGTGTTTCGTTGCGACATATCGTTACCATCCCGATACGACCCTCGTGTTTAACCGTGTTAACCGTGTCAAAAAAAGGAAACAAACACACGAACAACATACTCTTGAAACTATGTAGACCCAACCTTCCCTCCGATGGCGGCAGCGCCCGGCTGATTGACGTGAACTTGCGTGTGTCTGATTAATCGGAGACGACGAGAGCCGCGCGAATCGTGGTAACTTGGCCGCAGTTTCGCGTTATCGTGAGTGCTTTTGAATAATTAAATTTCGTTTGCGCATAATATACACACGTCGTTGAAGTACGCGGCACGGCACAGCGCAATATAGACATTGTCCCGAAAACGTTCCGTGCGTTTCACACACGCATTGCTCACATTCGCAATATGACGTTCTGAATACGAGTTAATTTTACTCATTAGCATTGTCGCCGCGGTAAAAGTTAACGCGGTCATGAAGAGGTAAAAATACAAAATTTTGCGCGGGGCTACGGAGATACGCGAGTAGAAAGTAGCGGTATTAACATGTAACACTGATGTCATACGGCATGATGTAAAATTAAAACTACGTTACGAGTTGTATACAAGCCCCTCTTACGCTGTATCGCTGGAATATCGTTACGTCTAAAGAGCTCTTTAGACATTGCGCGATATGAATAAAAAATTGTGTTTCTTCGTGGGCCCGGGCGTGTATGCGTGACGGTATATGTGCGCGCACGCTCGCTGCACTTGCACATCGGCGCGTAATTACTCGCGGCCGCGATCGATGGCTTGCGATAAGAAAAGAGAAAAAGCGGCAAAGCGGTGATTCGTATTTATCCGTCTGCGTGAGAACGGCGACGGTCGTAGGTGCGTTCAAATATTTTAACAGAATATGTACATCGCGCTGAAAGGCGAACGGTTTTTCCGATACGGCAACTTATTATCCGACACCGAGAATTGACTTCGGCTCATTACTTCACGTCCACGTCGCTGTCCCCGCGAAATTCTCGACGTTGCTTCGTTTATCTTAATGAAGTCGATTGATAACGACGTAGGAGTTATCTATATCTATCATATCGCGCGCGATTGATTATTCCAAAATAATTTCTTCTAAACAGGCCGAAGGCACGTCAAATTATTACGAATACGATCCCAGTTATTCCCGGATTCACCGATTGATCCTGAGTCGATTTCTCGTTAGCGAAAATTCAATCGGGCAACATCCGTTCGAAAATTTTCTCATCGCGTCCGTGTGATTGAAACTTATATAACGGACACTTGAGTGAAAATTCCGCTAAGATTAGGCGAATCTCTCGGGAGATTAAGCGGGAGGACTAAAATTTCGTTATTAATCTGCGCCGTCGAGATCCACCGTCGATCGTTGGGTTTGTGAGAAGAACGTCGGTAAGATCGAAATTCGCGGAACGGACACGATGCTGATGACAAATAAATAGGATTTTTAATGCGAATTAACGATTCCATAATTATGTTATCGAAAACATATTATTTGTTTAAAGACAATATAATTACGGCGCTTTGATTTGCGCGAGGCGCGGGCGTGCTGGGCACATAAATTAAATTAAATTACATGAAAAATCTCGATTCTCGTTTGGAAACACGTGATATACTGTCGTGTGCAC